AGAGAGAGAGAGAGAGAGAGAGAACGCAAGTTTGAAAATGCTTTGGTATCGGTGAGACCGTAATTCGATAATAGGTTCGAATAACAAAAATAAATTGCACATGTAATATTTGATATCCGAGTTGGGAAAAAGATTCGAACTTTAAGCCGGCGGTGAGTGTGGTGAAACATATCGTACGGTATAAGTCGTTGGACAGAAAGGGTTGTCGGTGGTTTCGCGCCGTGGCGTCACCATCACCGATTCCCTCAGGCATTTAACCGCAACTGTTGTCTCGATGGGCTGGGTTACTGCCCCTGGATACATCGCCACGATCTCCATCCTTTACTTTTCCTACACGCTCTTTGATTAATCTATTAATTTCGTACACTCCTCGTTCCTTTTTCGTTTCGCTTCGCTTGCCACGTCATTCCATTGGCACACAAGATTGGCACACAATCTTTTTAACGATGGTAAATTTTTTGTTCCCAAATTGTATAAAAGTACGTTTTATACGCGAGAAAACTTGGAAAAATTAATTAGAAAACTTGTGAAGGTGTATGGATAATTAATTGTATCGGGGATGATTAAATAATTAAATAATTTTTACTCCCCCTGGCTCGTCTCGAGTCTCATTGGCTATATCATTTTACCCATCGTAGCGTGGTTTTCAAGTTTTAGTACGATGGTTCGTATCGATCATAACTCGAAGTGAGCTCGCCTTGCAGGGAAAAAAAGCTAAGCGTACGCTGCAGGATTCTGTGCTAAAGTCGATACACTGGATGGATCGCAGTATGATGCAGTAAAATTAAATAAAGTCAATCAGTAGTGCAATACTTCTATGCAATAGCGTTTATCGAGTCTCTACAAATTATTCTTTACGAAATCTTAGAAATAATTGTGTTCTTCTGCGAAATATAAAATGTTATCAGACGTATATGTAGATGCATAATACGTACGTGTGTGTATAACGATCGTAACGATGTTTACACAAAGTTTACTTTATAAATAAAACGATGGTCGAATGTTGGTCACCGGGGCTATAAACTTGGATTGCGCTTGTTAAAGGCCTTTTTTACCGTATGCGGTAACAACGTTTTAAAATTTCGAGAGGAGGCACGGAAAGATGCACAATTGACCGCGAATGATTCGTTTTGACATGTTTAAGAACTGGTTTGGCCAACTGAGGCCAATCGGCGTTGGTCGAATTAGCGGGAAAAATATCTTGACGATCCTCGATAAAATTTGTTAATTTGAATAAAAAATTTTTTTTATCTTTCGTTTCTTAAAGTTTTTTTTTTCAAATATAGGGTGTATCATGAATTGATGACTCGGTTGAAATACCATTTATTTCGCAGCAAGATCTAATATGTTTTAGAAATTTGTAATCTATATAATATGAGAAACTATTGAGCAAATCTCGAATAATATCTCGTGAAATTTACAAGACAAGACAAAAGATCGAACGAAAAATATCTCGATATGAATTACACGACGCCGATTCACGTCGACAGAAAGCGAAGGACACAACACGTGAACACGTGAGTGAATGGAACGAATAAGAGAGAAGAAGCACGTATTATGATCAATGTTCATCTGGCCGGTGAAATATTAAAATGCGCTCGTTGCTCTGTTCTCGTAAGAAATAATGGTTATATCGGTAACACGAAGAGGTAAGAATGGCAATCGCACCAACTCGATCATTATTAACGCCTTTCATCCTATGCTCAACGAATCCACACACCTGTCGTACTAACGATCCCGATTTTAATCGACCGTTTAATTATCTCAATACGGGTCGAAACGAGACGTAAATTGAACGTGTGTGCACGAGTGTGCGTAACTGGCAGACGCAACGAGCCAGATAGATTTGAACGAGAAAGTGAAACAACGTATCGATTATTTACAGCTGCTTCTTAGTTTGCTTTATGGATACCGCAACACGTTAATACGAGCAATAAATTCGCCTGCTTACTTGCTAATAGCTATCGAGCAAAGGGATTATGCCAGAAATTACAATTTCAGACATTTGTAATTAATGTTAATTTAAGATACGCATATTTTCATGGTTTTTATGTTTGGATAGGTATTTATGTAAATGAATTTCGATTTAAAATAGAAATATTTTTATATATATTTACATTTGTCATAATTTCGAACAATTATAATTTCCAATATAATTACGGTAATTATTTACAGAAGGATGTTTTCTTTTGTTCGATTTTAGAAATATATCGTCAAGCTCAATATTCCGAATAATTTTTTCCTATACATGTTGCCACTGTTTCACTTTAGTTTTCGAAATATTCGCAAAAAATCATCGATAACTTTTCTGCCTATAATTGTAGCAACGCGTGGCTTAGCATTGCCAGCGCCTCACGACGGCCGGATATAAAAACTTAACCTTATTTTTTGTTTGTAGTGTCTATAAATAAAGATCGATGCTCGGATGAAAGCATTGTGTACAACAAGCATTGTGTATGTGAAAAGTGTTTGAAAAAAGTTTGAAAAGTATGGAATTGAAGGGAAGAGGTGACAAAAGAAAGTAGACAAAGAAGAGAGTGAAAAACTAGAGTGAGATTGGAAGAAAAAAGTAGAAAAGTGCGAAGTGAACAAAAAGTGAGGTTAGAAAGACTGCAAGCAGGCAAGGAAAGGAAAAGGAAGCAGGCAAAAGATATTTCATCGTCAAAATAATGGTGAGGAAGAGAGCTTTTTGTAAATAATTATAGAATAGATATTGATATCTTTTTTTCCATATGATATTCTTGATTCTGGTTCTTGATTCGATCGATATGTTTCATTTCATTTCTTAATTATTATTATTATTATTATGCGATATACAAACTTATTACGGTTAAACCGGTACATCATAAGTTAGCCCGTTATGGATGTAAGGGTTAGTGAAGATTCTCGATTGCTCCTAAATACACGAGCTTTCGTAAGTACACACTTTCCGAAAGGGTCTTCTTGTCCAAGCTCCTTTCATGCATACCGAATTTTCGTTATCTCATGCGCGCTACTTTACGAGAGAAATGGAAAACCCACGTTTAATGCGAGATCCTCTTTCCTTCCTTCCTTCTCAAATTTCTTCCTCATCTCTTGAATTAATCGTTTAGTTTAAACATTGAATCTTTGAAGAATACGTGTTCTCTTAATATCATTTCTTACGTATTATGAAATCATTGTTTCAATTTGCTTTTTTTATTTTTAGAAAATATTACAATTTTTCTTATATTGAGAATTGTTGGTTAATATTTTCCTCGTTAATTCTATAAATGAATCTAATTTCTTTCACAATATAATTTTTTTTTCTATCATTCCTTCATTAATTTCATAAATGATCCATTTCTTCCTCAATAATATAATCTCTATTACTCACTTGACATCCGTATAAATATATGAACACTAGATACACGTTCTATCTAACCATTTCGTTCCTCTGCAAAGATTTTATGCCATAACTCAAAAGATAACCCCTTGCTGTCTTCATGCCCCCTCCCTTCGTATTTCCACTTTCCTCTTCATTTTTCACAAATTTAGTTTCTCAACTCTCGTTCCTCTCAACCTGCGTCGTAAAGAAGTATTCTGTTCTCGTCTGACACATGTTCTCAAGTACGATACGCGTATAAATTCGAGGAATACGCGCGAAGGAAACATGTTTCGCGAGGAAAGTCGGAGGGTCTTCTAATTCGCTTTTACAGCCTTTACCGGGATATCGTCGTTGATAAAAGGAATAAAAAGATCGTCAATCGAGCCAACTACGTGACTCTGTATTTCACGATTTATGCACAAGAAAAGATATATCTTTAAAATTTTTTTAAAATTTTTATTACTTAAATAAAATATACGAATTAATATCTCGATAAATGTTTCAATATTTCACTCGAATCGTTCCACGATACATATACAAAAAAAAAAAAAAAATAAAAATAAATAAATACGCGTCATTCAAAAACTGATCAACACTTTCCCGAAAACTCTCATAAAGAATTTTCTTTAATTCTCTTTAATTTCACGATTCCTACGAAGGATTTTTCTCTCAAATTATGTTACACGTTCCACTCAGGAAAACTGATCAACTCTATTATACTAAAAATTTAACGTCAAAATATACAATTCATATTTAACATTTCACGAATCGAATTAGACTCGATCAAATTTTAGTTTTCGAAATAGAACAATGAAACGAAATTCGTATCGAAAGAAAATCTCCCCGTTTTCGACTCGACTCGACTCCCTCGAAAGGAAAATTGATCGAAAGTAAAAAGCGGTACGAGTCGATTTAACCGGATTCACCGGAACGTCTGTGCGATCGTCTGCCGCGCGAAAAATCCCTAGCGAGAGACAGGAAGTGGCGCAAGAAGAATAAAGAGAGGAGCAAGTCCGATAGGAGAAAGGAATGTCTATATGAAAGGTTAGGAGGAGAGGAGCAAGTTAAGGGGGACGGTGGACGCGGTGACGCGTGATTCTGCACATCGGGCAAAGGAAAGATTACCATCCGCCCGCTTTTTCCCAAAACTACCGTACGTTCCTTCTCTTTGTCGCACCCTCAACCGACGGCCGAGGAAAACTCTTTGATATTATAGCGTGTGCGCGCGATAACCAGAGGGGTTGGAAATCGGAAGATCCGCGCACGGATACCAGTCGGTCGAACGAGCAAGGAAAACAGTGTTCTCCGGAAGAGCAACCGGCTCTTCTTTTTAACCAATAATCGACCTTCTTGAAACGTATAAAATCCGTCCAACATCTTTCTCACTTATACTTTATTTTCGTATATTTATATATATATATGAATCGATCGGATAGATAAGTTAATATTTTTGCAGGATGTGAATAGAAAAGATGAGTTAATTTTCTTCACTTCTCTTGTTCGATTCACAAACACAGCAAAGATTCTAAGTGAAAATTTTTCTTTCGTGGAAAGTGAAAATATCTCAAAGTTTTATTTTCACGAAAATAGCAAAGATTTCCAGAATCCTACATAGCGATTATTTAGACATTGTAGAAATTTCGACAAAGGACAATCTCTATCTTTTCTTTCGTGAAAAGTGAAAATATCTCAAAGTTTTATTTTCGCGAATATAGCAAAGGTTTCCAGAATCCTACATAGCCCGCTAATTTACATATTATAAAAATTTCGACAAAGGACAACGATCGTTGAGATCAATCTCTATCTTTTCTTTCATGGAAAATAAAAATATCTCAAAGTTATTTTCACGAAAATAGTAAAATTTTCCAGAATCCTATATAACGACATTGTTAGAAATTTGGACGAAGGAAAACGGCGATAGAGATCGCGGATTCGAGCGAACGATCGGGAAAGTATAAATTAGCGGGCGATCGACATACGTTGGACGAGTGTAGGCAGAAGCACCGTTGAACCACGAAGAGGGCCACTTATATAAACCGTGGCGATGATATATAAGGGATTTGTCTCCGTGGCAGCGTCATACGTCATGTCGCAAATATTAACTCTGATACAGGCCATTCATTCACTTAATTACAAACAGCCGTGATTTAAGGGATGCCGTGCGGCAGGGGGTCCAAGCACCGGCCACGTTTCAGTAGGTGTCCGAGGTGTAGCTGATACGGTGTAGCTTTCTTTACGATCCCTCATTTACACAACAGGACCTGGAGCCACTTCTTCGCCAAAACTTATTCTCTTGTTCTCTCGCTTTCTTCTCCCTTCTTCCCCCCCCCCTCCCTCCCCCCTCCCTTCTCCCTCTTTCATTTTACCTACCCAGCTCATAGCTGAAGGGCGTACCGTGTTCAAAGTCCCAGGAAACCATACCGATTTTGCATGTTCGAGAAACTGTCATTGTTCGTACGTCGAATAAATTGGAAACGGAGGGATAAGAGGGAAAAGATCGGAATGGTGGACTCGGAAATTATTCGATTCGTATTAACGATATTTAAATTAGTAGTGGAAATTTTTTATGATTCCATGTATCTGTGAATATCCAAGAGGAATTTATATATAAATTAGGAATAAGAGAATTCGAATCTTGAAGTTTTGCCATGTTTGCGATTCGAAACGCGGTGGAAAGGTTTGAAAACGAAAATTCGTATTCGTGCTATTTAAGTTTTTTCCTGTTTAAACTAAGAAATTTGTATAAATTAAAATCATTGGAAAAAGCGTTTTACTCGAAGTGTTTGAAAGTTTTTCCAAGACTTGGGGATTCGAGAAGACAATTCGTAATCGATGCACGGCGAAACTAGAATTGATGAAATAATTAGACGACTAGCCGAGCCAGCGGTATCGTTGTTTCGTTAATACCTTTTGTTTCTTTGCTTGGCATCGCGTTTCGGATGGAACGAAGGTAATTGGACTAACAACTCCAGGAAACCGGTTACCAAATTAATCATTCCATCATGATATTTCCATATCCTCTCCCCCTCCCCCCCCGTTATAATAATTCGATTGAAAAATATTCTATTCTCGAAAAGAGAGAGACACGATTTCAATCGAAGATAATATACGGTTGCGCAACGCTTTTTCGAAAAAACAGTTCGCCTTTTCATCTATCTTTCCTCTCTCCTATCTCGCAAACGCTTATATAGAAGTCACCGAATAAGATACCGCTGGCTGGCCGACGTGTTTATGAATATTGGCCACGATGACGAACGAGTTGCTTTCGAAGTAGCCGCCGCAAATTGATCGCGCAGCATTCAGTATCACGGTACGCGCGTATATATACATATATAAATACAAAACCAATATTCCAGAATTTTTTCAAATTTTTTTCCACCAGAAAAAGAAAATAACCGCGAAGATTATTAAACGATTCAAATTACCCACGAAACGTGGGTGATAAAGAATATCTTTCCCCCCCTCTCTTTCTCTTCTCATCCATGAAAGTCGTAACAACTCAATAACGAGAGTTCGACGAAAAAAGAAGAAGAAGAAGAGAAAGATTATTCGGTGGTTACGTATATTAAACGAGAAAACGAGGGATAAAGAGGCGGATAATCGGTAGGTATTCCAGCTGCACGCGCGTCTATATAATATACGGGTAAGTTGGAATGAACGATCGATCGATCGGGTGTGTGTAACAAGGGATAGAATGAGGTACGAAATGGCGAGGAGGAAAAGATGGTTCTCTGCGCGGAGCAGAAGTGGTTACACCGGCGAGAGGAAGATTACAAAGCGGTGTGCGCGAGTTCCGAATTGAAATTGATAGCCGATCGTTGCTATCACGTGCGAACTGCACCGATCTCGAAAAACGAGCAAACGAAAGAAAGAGGGGAGGAAGGTAGTGGAAGCGAGGAGAGGAAAGGATAAGGCGTGGATAAGGCCAACGTAGAGGTGGGAAGGGAACGAGGGACGAAATTACTCCTTGTATTTTTCGTTATGGAACGATACTTTTCTTTTTTTTTTTTTTTAATTTTTAATCGAGGATGATAATCGAGAGAACTTATGGAACTTTGTATCGCGTTGTTGCAATTAATTTTGTTAATTTCCTTCTCGTAATTAATATTATATAGTTTCAAATATTTTTTATCTTATTTAACACTGTGTTTACGATACGGGAATCAAGTATTTCAAGTTGCGTGCATTCTTTGAAACCAAGTTAAAAGAAAATCTTGGATGTATTAGGATTAATCGAATTAAGAAATTGAATGTTATTTATTTTCCCGCAGGGAAGGGCACAAAAGAAATTCAACAATTTCAATTTTCTCTTCAATAAAGATAAAATTTAAGCATTCTTCGATTCTATCCCTACGCTATATCAAATTAGAATCTCATTTTTCCCTCGTCCACGTTCAACATTCTTTCAATCGTTCTCTTTTCGACGACGAATTGGAGAGGAAACGAGGTGAAAGAATGAGAGAGAGAGAGAGAGAGAGAAAGGAAGGGGAGACGACAGGAGGAATCCCGGGGATTTACTGGCCCAAAACGAGTCGTTCATTTGCCAATGTAAATCCACAGAAGCTCCTCCGTATCTTTTTCTTCTCCGGTTGTGCCGCGGTTGACCCGCTGTTCTTTGCCGCAAGGTGGCCACTTTGCCAGATAAAGAAGATAAAGATAAAGAGGAAGAGCAAGAGGATGTACGAGGTTGCCGGTTAAGAGAACATTCTTTATGAAGTAGACTTCTACGTTATTATAGTATCGGGGAACACGCACCGGGTTTCTCTTCCTCGCCCCCTGCTTTTCCCTCTCGCCCCTCGCCTCTTCTCTCTTCTTCGGGATTTAAATGACCGTTGTATTTTACAGGTTATATCTTTCGAGCCTCCTCCGCCGATTCCACCTTCCCTAGCTCCGTGGTATGGGATATATTCAATTTTATCGCCCGTTATTTCCACCAAGTGTGAATCCAAGTACGGAAAACTCGATGAGGGATCTCTCGCACGATTGAATTAATATTCTCTCGTTTACGCGTGGCGTTCCGTAATCATTGCTCAACGTTTCTTCTACGATGGCGAGCGATGAGGACCGTTTTTGATGAAACGAAGGAAATTTGAGTGAATCATAGAGATATTAATTATTGGGTTCTCGGATGATGGTATCTCGTCTGTGATAGGGAGGAGTTGTTGAAAACGGAGACCGAGTAAGTTGGTTTAGTTAAATTTTGAATCGTTGATATCGATGATAATGTATAAAATTCAAAGGATATTTGATCGTGTAAATTTTTAAAAGTCTTGAATCTCGTTCGATTGTTTAAATTATAACGTGACAATATATCAGATGATCTAATTTCAATTTTAACCGATATTATTATACAGCGGATAGTTCCAATACAGACAATTTGGACAATCAATCCCATCGTTTGTACGCGTTACAGAAATCGATAATCGGTGATAGAGATGGAGTGGAGGCTCGAAGGATGCGGAAAAAATTTTTTCTTTTTTCCTCTTTTTTTACAACGAGATAATCACACAGGCTATTGCTATCAATTTGCGCGATATCCCGTACAGCGGTGAATGCAATCCAGGATAACGGGTGCTGTATCGAATAATTAAATCAAGTGTATTCGCGAGATAAGACGATGTACTATCAGCATGAAGAAATGCACGTTGTAAGGAGATAAGACTATTCTCGTGAATTTAAACCGTTATCGAGATAACGACTCGACTTCTGTATTGTATGGAACAGGAGCGAGAATTCAGGTAAGTATCGAAAACTGGATAGTGGTATAACTTGCTTTCTGTGAAAGTCCGTGACTTATTTATTCGCGGAAACGTTCTTTTTTTTTTTTTTTTAAAGAGATGTTCGATTTATTTATAATTAAAACACTCTTTCGAATATTGAATTATTATTAAAATCCTATAAAGATCAGGTATATATATGTATAAAAAAAAATGGAAAATATTCGAGAAATACGGATTATTTTTATTCTTGTAAAACGTACTATGCATGATACGTCGAAGAACCGATCAAAAATAAATAATAAATATATCCTAGTTCGAAAATGATGGACGAATTCGGTCAAGAAAGAATTTCAGCAAAATTCTAACCAAAAACGATTTACCACATCTAAACGCCGCGTAGATCTAATGGAAAACCGTATATACATACAAAATATATCGCGTCGAATTTTCCTTTTTCCCCTCTGCCCGTTACTTCCGCTCCATCGTTCTTCGCGCGAAAATATATCCCGAATATAACGGTTCGACGAAAAGGGTGGACGATTGGCAAGAATTTCAGGGCAACCGAGCCGGGCCGAGGCGAAAAGACGCGAAATTTTGGCCAGAAAACCTATACACACATACATACATATCTATAACCTTCACCATATAAATCTTCCTTTTTTTTTCTTCCGGCCCGTAGTGGCCGGTCGCGTAGAACAAAAATAAATAGAGGGGCGGCGGGGAGAATAGTTGGAAAAGGATGGAGCAAGAATTTCAACCACGAAATTCGAGGCAAGGGCGCAAAATTCTGAGCGGGGGCGGTATGGTGTAACGTAAACGTTACGAGCTGTGGCCAGTTCTTTGATATCGGTGAAGCGTGAGGACGTTACGGCAGACGGACGGACGAATGGACGGACGGACAGGCCGACGAACGGACGGACTGACGAGGGGTCTGGTTATGATTGTGATATTACAGTTGGTACGTAGTCTCTCGGAATGTTGTCTGCCTTTCTCTGCGTCCATCTCTCTCTCTTTCTCTCTCCACCTCCCCAACTCTTACCCTCTACTTCTGCATCCCCGCGCTCCTACCCACCACCACCACCACCACCTCTCCTCCCTGCGCGCGTGTGCGTGTAGTAGATGCGTGTTCTACGCGAATGCATGCCTACCCATCAAGCGGCGCAACGTGAAGCTAATCAAACGGGCCAACCCACTGTGCGAATATTAATTAAACTCTCCGTTACGGGTGAACAGCGCGCGCATAGAGGGCACGCAAGAGAAGAAGAAAGAGGGGCAGAAGGTGGCGCGGGAGGATATCCGTTTGTCGCGTTACGTTCCACCACCTGCGGAACGTCGCACCTTCGCACAAAGCTCTTTCCCCGCGTTCCTCTCTCTTACAAGGTGTTGGAATGTCGAAGGAGACATTTCATTCTCGCGTTCCTCCCCGAATTTTACGCGCCTCGCCCTTTTCGTCAATCCGCGATAATGATTCAAGATGTTTAGAATAAAGGGAAGTTTGTTTATCTGGAATTGGAGGTTCGTGTTTGGAAGTGGAATTTTTAAACGACAAGTCGAAATGTATCATCCTTTCGATTATTCTTCAAACGGATAAGAAACGAGAGGAGCTAGGCGATATATACACAAGCGGTTGAAAGATGGCACTCTAGATCATCTTCCAATTCCTTTCTTCTTCTTGTTCGATCGACGAAAGGAAAGGAAGAAAGGAGAGAAGGTGCGCACGATATACACGCGATGATATACTCGCAATTAGTAGATACGGTTCGACACCATACAAAAGATCGGTATACGTCCTTTTTGGAAGGGAGAAAAGAGATCGGCGGACAAGGTTGGTACTCACGGGTTATCGAGGTAGCAACGAAAGTTGTAGAACTCTTATATAGATGTCAGATTTCAGACGCTGTAAACGGTATATGGCTCGTTGTAAAGGCGGCCTCTTTGATACCATGGACCCCATAATGCGTCGATACATACGCAGAGCCTCCATCGTAAATACCACGACTCTCTCTCTCTCTCTCTCTTCGCCACTCCCAACTATCTTTCCTACCTCTCTCCTTCTTCTTCTTTTTACTTCTTTTCTTCCTGTATAAATTAGCTTCCACCTTCCCAGATGTAAAACTCTGTCAGCCATCCTAAATTCTATCCTCGGGACTCGCCAGTTTAATTACACCGTCATAAAACAGGAGGAAGTCGGAGGACATTTTGGTCCACCGTTTCGTTAAATTCGTTTCGTGACGCGTCGAGTGACGAGGACTCGATTGATATCAGAACTCGAACGTTCTTAGAGCGAACATCGAACGGATTCTTCGATCTTCTTCTAAATGTGCCGAAATAATTTTTTTCGACGTCACGTTATCCTCGTTACAACACGATCCAAAATTCTAATCATTTCTTTCATTCGAGAATTTAAAAATTTCATCTTCGTCGATCGATGAAAATATAAAATAATATCTCTTCGTTATCGATCATCTTAGTACAAACTTTGTCACTCCAACTAATCGAACTGAATTCCCACCAATAGTGCTGCTGCTCAAAAAAAAAAAAAAAAAAAAGAAAAAAGAAAAAGAAAAGAAAAAAAATGAAAAGAAAAAAAGAACGTTTCGAGAATCCGAGGCGAGATACTCACTGTGCAGGTTCCAGAGGAAGGGCAAATTGAAATTGTGATACATGGTGAAATTTGGCCGCGTGTCTCACGACCGCACGATCGTGTGTACACGGCTTTAAGTGAGCATTCACGGCCCGTTCAACGCGGAGGGGTCGAAAGCGTCGTACCGAGTAACTGACTAGCGCACCATCGAAACCGAACTAATAGTGGCCACGGTATGCTCGTCTGTCAGGCTGACTTGGCCTGGATGTTCCCCAATTGGGGGGGAAAGGGAGGAGTTAAAACGTGGGGTGAAAGCGGTTTCGGCACCCCTGCGTGTACCGAAGTGGCAGCCCCCAATCAGATTTCTCGATCGGTCCACCGATTTTACGCCCTGTCGCAACTATTATACCTTCTTCTTCTTCTTCTTCTTCTTCTTCCTTCCCATTCTCTTCTCCTCTTTCCACGCGCCCCTCCTTTTTATTTATATATTTTCAGTCAAATTGTCACGTCTCTCCATCCATCGTGTCAACTTCGAAATGATGATTCGCCAACTTAGCGAGTCGAGCAAATAAATTTCTCTAAATACAATTCGAACGCGTCGATTGCAACTTCAGATCGGGTAAATGGCGATGGGATCGAAAGCTTTCTCGATCTGTACACCCTACAGTGCCATGAAGCGGCAGAATCGGGCTAAAGTGTGCAACCGAGTGACTGACTTACTCGCTCGCTGCCTGGAACCGGCGCTATACAAAAGGGCGGCGAGCCCACGGATTAGCGGACTTATATATACAAAGTCATTCAGCTCGAGCGAGGAACCGAATACGTGCATCGCCCCTCCTATCGTTCGCACCTATTGCACGGCTCGAAAACCGGGTGTACGTCACGTACACCGGAACCCTCCGCCACGGAAACCACCCGGTAATCTCGCTAATACAGATGTCACGGAGACGAAAGAAGAATAACTCTCCCTTTTCACGCTTCTCCCCTCCCTCCCTTCACACCGCTAATACGTATTGCCCCCTCGTAAGTGGAGAGATCGCTTTCGATTCATGGTTATTCATGTGTTTAGCGTTCCATTTCGACGTGTGTTTCTTTTTTTTTTTTTTACTGTGAATTTACAGAAGGGATACATCGCGTTTTTCGAAATAGCGTGTTTTTAAAGATAACGTCGAAGAATTTTTCAGAGATCTCGTTCACGATCGGAGAGAGGAATTCTTGGGGGGGCGAGGTGTAGCTCGCTTTCATTCAGAAAGCGCGCCATTCAGAGGATATTTCCCAGTGACATGAAAGGGGACGAGGATTATACAGTCAAAAGTCAGATTTCGAGTCTGTCGGTATATATCGAGCAGAATGGAGCGGCTCGTCTAAAGGCTTC